AGCAAAAGCAACCCTGGAGTTTTTGAAGGTAAAAAGTGGAACATTCTGCAATGGCCGAGTCAATCTCCTGATCTCAACTCAACTGAGCATGCATTTCGCTTGCTGAAGACAAAACTAAAGGCAGAAAGACACACAAACAGACAATAACAGAAGTCAGCTGCAGTAAAGGCCTGGCAAAGCATCACAAAAGAGGAAACCCAATCTTTGGTGATGTCCATCAGTTCCAGACTTAAGGCAGTTGTTGCCTGCAAAAAAAAACACTTTGTTTATGATTATATTCATATGTCCAATTACATTTGAGGCCCTGAAAATGGGGGGACTGTGTATACAAATATTTGTAATTCCTAAGCATGTTATATTTTTGTTCAACCCCCTGAATTGAAGCTTAAAGTCTGCACTACAATTTCCTCTTGATTGTTTCATTTAAATTCTATTCTGGTGGCATACAGAGCCGAAATTATGAAAATTGTGTCAGTGTCCAAATATATATGGACCTAACTGTGTATTATTTTACAGTATAACACAGTTTTATTTTAAACACTTATAAAGAATGTATCCATAATGCTTCTTGCAGTGTTTCTCGTGGGTATTTGCTTTGAAAATGACAAGAAAACAATAAAACGGAAAGTTCAGGGGGAGGAAATGAAAATCGCCCAGTCTGATGAGAGACTGACCGTGATTGGAAAAGGCAAAGAGATCTTAAACCGGTCAAGAGGAGCCAAGCCAAGAAACGACATGGGCTGCACCAGCATTGGAGGTATCTGTCAGAGTAATATCTACATCTGTCAGGGCAGATACCTGAAGGATAAATGCCGGGGAGAGATATCACGCCAGTGTTGTACGCCAGGTCTGATTTTGCACTTTCTGACTAGATGCAATGTTCATTGGTTTCTTTTAACTAAATGAGACAAACTAACTCCTGTGGCCTTTTTCAGTTGCAGCGTGGAGTGCTCTGTGTGCTGGAAGTCATCATAACAGAGTGCGAGCTTGTGACAGCTATGGCTGTGGTGCCTTTAATTCCAGGAGGTATTTCAGAAACAGCTTTTTTCCTGAGACATCATCCATTATATCTAAATAAATAAGTAAATAAATAAACTGAAATACCACAAATTACAAAGCAAATCTTGGGATAACTGGTGACTTTGAACTTATTTTATTACATAGCAATCGTTTAAGTAATGAGGTATGAGAAGTTGTGCTATATTGTAAAAATTAATCACAACTATAGGTCATTAGGTAGTACATGCCGTGGATATTCATTAACAACACAAACTTAGGTGCATTATTGCTTTTATAAAACAATCACTACCTATTTAAAAATATATAATTAAGGAGTTTCTTCAGCTATGGGCACTTTTGGTCGTGTAGACATTTCGGTAACACTTTATTTTAAGGTGTCCTTGTTACATGTATTTACTATTATAATAACAATTAATTATGCATAATTACAAGCAAGTAACCCTAAGCCAATCCTAACCCTAACCATATAGTAAGTACATGTAGTTAATAAATATTACTCAGTACTTAAATGTATAACTACACTGTAACAAGGACACCTTAAAATAAAGTGTAACCCATATTTTTTGTTAGCTTGGTGTATTGTCAGAAAGGCTACACTGTAAAGTGACAGGAGTGACAACTGCATTTAGCTGCAGTAATATGTATGTGAATTCATTTTATATATATATATATATATATATATATATATATACTTATACAGACTGTAAAATAAATCAAAATAACCATAGGCATGACATATTCAAATATTAAAAAAGAACTTAATAGTCTACATAAACAATAACACACAATAATTAACAGTGCAACAGTGTGAATAATTAATAAATACATGCTATTAATATAAGCTAAAAAACAAACAAAGCTAAAAGACTAACTAGTAGCAATATTGTTTATATGAAATTCAAACTGAAAAACATTAAAGTATTTATTATTAACCATAAATTAGAACATTAACCAGAAGTATGATTAATCTCCTCCAAAATTGGACATTTCCCAAGCGCACATGTCCATCTACTCCTTGAAAGCAGTAACGGCTGGTAAAGGTAAAAAAATGCTGTCTGTAAAGGAAGGGCTCAAGAATGGGACATAACTTGAGCTTATAATTTCCCCCGGACTACTTAAAGTCCATCCCAAATTCATTTATACCAGAGATTAAAAATAAAGGCGCAATTGGGGTGGCGGGGGATGCCTGAAGAACTGGGTTGTGATGGACAAACTTTTGTTTTGTGATGGCTTTTGAATGCATTCTCCATGTTCTCAGTCACATCCATACTGACACTCTTTGCACTGATAGGGCTTGACAAACAAACAAACAAATATAAAAACAAACACTCTGGCAAAAAGTGTGGAGGTGGTAATATTTCAGCCCTTTTAGTTCATGCACTGTAAAAAATGCTGGGTTGTTTTAACCCAACTTTGGGTCAAATATGGACTAACCCAACCGTTGGGTTAAATTTTTCTATTAAATTTTTAACCCAGAAGTTGGGTTAGTCCATTTTTGACCCAAAGTTGGGTTAAAACAACCCAGCATTTTTTAGAGTGTGGCATCATATTAAAATTAGATGTAAAGTTCCCAGAAAAGTCACAACTGAAATCTCAGGAGAAACGTCCCAGACAAAGTCACATACTTGAACTAAACTCAAATTACAACTCCATTACGTCTCCAAAGCAGCAGCCTTTGAGTAATAGTTCTCCTCTGGGTAGGCTGAAGGATTAGGTTTCTGTGTGCGCAATAAAGAGCTGTCGGTGCGCAGGACCTTGATCATCTCTTCAGAGAAACATACAGTGCGTTTATTAACGCAGCGTTTGTTGACGACTCGCGTCGTATCTGGACAATTATTTATTTTCCATTATGAGTCATTTGACAGAGAATAACTTGACAGCACAGACTCTGGAATACCCAGTGTGCTCAGAATGGAAGGAAAATCCTGAAGGATCAATGTTTCATCTCGCACATATGCTGCTGGTTTTGGGATTTATGGGCGGCAGCGGCTTTTATGGATCACTCTACATGTTCAGCTTTTTAACGCTGGGGTTTTTCTGTTATTCGATCTGGGCATGGTCCGATCCCTGCACGACTGACTCGTTTTCATGGACTTTCGCGCTTTTCGCCTTCTGTCTGGCACAAGTTGTTCATGGGTCGTACCGATTGCGAAGCGTCACTTTTGATAAGGAGTTCCAGGATCTCTACGATCATATGTTCAAAAAGCTGGGGGTATCCTTAACTCATTTTGGAAAAATCGTGGAGTGTTGTGAGGGCGATATCTACACTATAGATAAAGACCACTGCTTCGCCGTGGAGGGTAAAACCTCCATCGACAAACTGTCCGTTCTTATCTCAGGCAGGTGAGTAAATGGACTTCATAACTAGAAATAATCCGCGTATTATGTCTTACTATGTGTGCTTCAAGACAAACAAAGCACTCGCTTTGTCTAAAAATAGGATACGAGTGACGGTGAACGGGGAGTTTTTGCACTGCATCTATCCATTTCAGTTCCTGGACTCTCCAGAGTGGGACTCCCTCAGACCTTCAGAAGAAGGGATTTTTCAGGTGAATAAATTGCGTGTTTGTTTTCGTACTGTAAACTTTGTAATGGGACAACTTCTTGTATTTTTTCCCAGGTTACGTTACGCGCAGATAGCCGGTGCAGGTACGTGGCGTGGAGACGAAAGAAACTCTATCTGCTGTTCGCGCAGCACCGCTACATCGCCAAGATCTTCGCGCTGCTGGTGCGCAATGACATCGCGGAGAAACTCTTCTCTCTGAACGAAAAGGCTTTCGACACCCGCGGGTTCCGCTACGATCTCCGGTTACCAAGCTTCTGTCACGGACCAGAGCCAGAAATAGAAAACACAAGTGAATCCCGGCCAGTGCTGGGACAGAGTGAAACCAAACCGACAGAAAGAGACTCATGAGAAACGCTCGCTCCACATTTTTGTAGCCTTAACTGATGCTAATAATGGTCCTGGGTTTTGTCATGCATTGTTGTATTCTTTTATATTCCACAAATATTTTTGTCCTTGTTTTATTTAATTGTAGTGACCTGAAATCAGTGTTTTTGTTCAGTCAAGCCATTTTTCAACAATTGTTCAGATTAACACTTAATTAATATACACATCAAGGCATCTGAATGAATGAGAGATTAACTGTTTAGAATCAAGCTTTCACGTGAAGACTCATCTTTCATCTCTCTGCATCACCAATACATCCTAGAACACCTACATGAACACTGTCAATCTAAAATTGTTATTTAACTGTTGCCCATGCCTATGTAGCCTAGTATGTTTGCTTTACACACAAATGAAATGTTCACACATTTTGAAAATAAAATAAAAAATTCTTATAGACTCGTAAAATCAACCATGAAGGGGTATATCAATCATTTCAGAATTAAAGGGGACACTATACAGGATAAGACTAGTTTTTCTGACAGGCTATAGTTTGTTTTTCTCTCCTCTTTTTTGAGAGATTGCATATTTAGCACATTTTTATTATCATAGGCTTGTTTGTGTTTTGAGCAGGTAAACAACTAGCGTATTTCAACCACGTGTAGTTCACATTTTGGCTAAGCTGTGAGTGTGATACACGATTATATACAATTACAAGTTGAACCAGTGCACGATATAGGCTATCCACCCTGTCGTCTCATTTAGGAGCTGCACAATGCATGCAGTGAGTTTTAATGTGGGCATTTACACATATCCTAGCCTACAAATTTGGCGGATGAAACAGACAACATATCTGCCAGATGAAAATTGATCTCGGCACCCTTCCATAATTTAGTTTTATTAGCCTACAATTAAGGGCATATTTTAGTGCAACTCCATGTCAGACCAGTCTATTGACAACAAAACACAATTAACAGACGCCTTGTGATCATGAATGTCTCTCTAGTGGTGGAGTCGCGTATGTGCGCAGAGGAGTGGCCGCTTGGTTTGTGCCCATTTTAAGTCAATGCCTGTCATCTGGCTGGAATGCGCTCCTCACACACTGCAGCTCTCAGCTCAGCTATCAGTCTGTTATCTTCTGCCTTAACATTCCTCCAGACCGCGCACATTAGAGCTCGAATCGACAACACCGGTGAGTAGAAAATGGTTTATTTAACAGGCTATAATGACATTTTAAAATAACCTCTTAAACGTTATGCAAGATTAACACGAAGCACAATAGATAAACTAAAATGTGGTTCTATAGAAAGTTTATTGGAGGTCAGTGACTGCGTTTCTGGGCTTGTAAATCTCCCCGAAAGATGTTTGCGCATTTCGGTTTCTGATTTCTGACAGTATAGCCTATATGTTCATGTCACTATTAACCGCGCTGACTGACATTTATAACATTTATATCCAGATATGTAGGTTATTCACTTAAGAGAAATACTTGCAATTCAAATGTATTTGTTTATGAATGTGGCGGTTCTAACAGTTCACTTTCTGTCCATCTCCCCATCAGCTTGAAAACTTCAGAATGTCAGAATCCTTAAACTACACAACATCTCCACTGCCTTCCAGTGTTCCATCAGTCGCTGGAGATTCCAACGCCACATTATGCCAGGACTGGGAGCAGTCCCATCACCTGCTGTTCCACCTGGCCAACCTGAGCCTTGGTCTAGGTTTCCTCATCCCCACCACAGTAGCGCTTCATATGATCTTCCTCAGACTGCTGCTGATGACAGGTACAGAGCGCCCTCAACAGGAGAGCGATGCGCATACATTTGTTTAGCCGAAAATGAACGCTAGTTAAAACGTAGTTATCATAAATAAGAAGTTCAGAGGGTATGATTGAACTTCATACATTGTAGGTTTAATTCTATGAAGTTTGTTGCAGGTAATTCCATTTCATTTGATGAGCTGAGATATTAACAGATTAATGTGCAAATTTAAATGTACTTTTTTTTTTTTTTAAGTGATAATATTACGTGAGGTATTAAAACTAAAACATTACAATTTGTTTTTTGGTAATTGAAATTAATCTGAAATAAAAATAAAGCATTAAGATTGGATTAAAAAAAATATATAAATGTCTTGGCAACTATGAAATAAAAAAAATAAGTTGATGTACTATTAATTACAACTACAACTGAAAGAAAAGAAAAAAAGAATATAAAGAAATATCAAAAAATGACAAAAGAACATAGCAAAATGACTAAAACTTAAACTAAAAATATAAGATAATATTAATAAATACTATAATAGTATAAATAATACTAAAATAACACTAATAAAGCTATGAATTGAAAGGCTTTAATAATAAACGTTTCAAAATATTTTGCAACCTCAAGTAACAAATTATCAAACCATTCAAATCCCAGAATGACAAAAGGGTCTAAAATTACCTACCACTATTGTTTTAATCACATTAAAAATAATAATAATAAAAGTTGTGGCAAGTATTGTCTATATCAATTTAATATAATAATGAAGTCTGCGCAGAATATTTTGAAAGTCTAAATGGGGTGTCACAATACAAAGTAAGCTTGCTTTTATGTGATTTTCACATTTTTACTTTGGATTAAGATTCATAGGAACTTTTAAGAACCAAAAACAGATAACTAAATGTAAAAAATAACTTTGGATTGTTTTGATGTTGTATTGATTCATAACATTTTTTTGGGGATTTGAAATGCTTATCTTTATTGGATTTCAGGGTGCTCTTTGTTCATAGCATGGGCCACATTATATAGATGTACATTGGATGTGATGGTGTGGAATGTGGTTTTCATCCTGGTGAACTTCATGCATTTCTTCTTCCTGCTTTATAAACGCAGACCGGTGAGTACAGTCACCAATGAGCAAGCTACATATTATTGATACAGTCTATTTGAATGTCCTTGGCTGAGAGATGCTTAAACTGCATCCAGGAAAACAGAGGTCAAATACCATGATTTGTATTGAGATAAGAGGATGTTTTGCTCTCATCTCTTCTCTGATGTCTTCGTGAGTGGGTATTGCAGTGTCTGTACAGTGGCTAGTAGTGTTGATCACATTGCCTGCAATGAATTTGGACTCAGAATTCAAGTTCCCATTGTGCTACATTCAATATACCTGTTTGGTTGTGTTGTTTAATTCCAGATTAAGATTGACAGGGAGTTAAAATCATTGTACAAGCGCATGTTCGAGCCCCTGCATGTACGTGAAGCTCTGTTTCAGAGGCTCACCGGCCAGTTCTGCACCATCCAGACCTTAAAGAAGGGCCAGGTCTATGCAGCAGAAGATAAGACCTCTGTTGATGAGCGCCTCAGCATTCTTCTCAAAGGAAAGTAGGTGCTTCATTTCACTAAGAGTCCACATTTACTTTCTAGATCTCCTATCATGTGTGTATTGTTTTTGAATTCTCTGACCAAGTTTATGCATTTGACAGGATGAAGGTATCATATCGTGGCCATTTCTTGCATAATATTTACACCAATGCCTTCATCGACTCTCCAGAATTCAGGTCGACTCAGATGAACAAGGGGGAGAGGTTTCAGGTAATGTGTTTAAAGTTTATTATTTAAATATTCATTGAATATTTTAATAGTGAAAAATTACCATTCACAAGTGCTTCTCAGAATGTAGCTTTAACATTGTATTTCTGTACCCTGACATACTGTATATGAGCAATTTCACAGGAGGGTTTTTAAAGACACTCCGTTGTTGTTTTTCTTATGTAGTTACACATTTGTGCCGTCGAACTGTTGTATAAATGCAATATCACACTCGTAGACGTGAGATATGGCTGTGTACCGGCACGGCCGTAGGCACGAGGCCGCAGGTAATCACAGCGTGCTGATATACAGCCATAGTAATTGTCAAAAATCAAATCAACATTTGGTGTGACCAACCTTTTTGTTTAAAACAACTTTTGTCCTAGGTACAGTTGTGCATAGTTTTTCAGGTAGCTTTGTAGGTAGGTTTCTTGAAGTGTCTTGGAGATGTTGCCACAGTTCTTCTGGATTTAGTCCGAGTTTTTTCTGTCTGTGCTTTCTGTGTTTGTTTAATTCGTATGAGGGGAGCCATCTCAAGAAAGACAATGTCACATTCCAGAACTTTCTGGTCATTTTGTGGAAGAGTAAACTAATGGCGCTTTTCCACTGCATGGTACGGCTCGGTACGGTTCACAAAAAGTTTTTTTTAGGAGTCGTGGTAGTAGAGGCGGCGCAACTATAACAACATGTGAATAATCCCGCCCACTCCAAAGCGGTACTGAACTGCAGTGGAAACGCAAACCGTGCGGAGCCGAACCGTGCCGTGCCGTACTGAGCCGTGCCGAGCCGAGTCGTACCACGCAGTGGAAAAGCACCATAATACACACCATTTACATTTATCTGTCACATGCACATGAATACACAGGTGACGATCACTGCTGAGGAAAACTGCAAGCTCCTGTGCTGGTCTAGAGAGCGTCTGACTTACTTCCTGGAGTCAGAGTCTTTTCTGAACGAGGTGTTCAGGTACCTCATTGGCAAAGACATCACCAACAAGCTTTACTCTCTCAATGATCCAACCCTGAGTGACAAGGTAAGAACATAGCAGTTAATTAATGAATATGACAATGTTAATGCATTTGGTCTTGACAGAGTAGATCTGCTATGCAGGCCACAGCTGCTACTGCATAAATACACATACACTCTGCTGTGGGCATGTAAGATATCCTGCTGCTTGAATAGGCATACATAAATCCCTTAGCAGATATAGACAAGCGGTGCTGGGGGAGGTGGAGGGTGTCAACAGACAATTTAAATGTTGAGCAAGCAATCTAATTGGATGCAGAATCAGCAGAGGCTAGTCAGGACAGGACATGTTTCAGCCGGGATTTATAAACTGCCTAAATTGTCTGGGTTTTGACTTTGTTTTCCTATTGTTTTCATACTTGCTGAAGGTAATGACTGAAAAGCTATTTGAGAAATATCATGCAGGTATTGTACATAATTGCTCAATCATGGTGTGCAAGTATGTATGAAGGCTGTAGAGAGCACGCCAAATGGAAAACAAAGCCAAAACCTGTACATTTAACCAGGACAGGTCCAAGACAAAGAGGATGTATGGTAACCCTACTTGCATGACTGAGCTAGATATATTTGTAGAAAAATTATGCCTACGTATATATTTCTAACTAAATTCAGAATCTAATACATGTTTGGACAGTGAAGGAAAACCAATCCAGTTGTCTAGTATACATGGGTGGCCTTCAGTACTACTTGTTAACATCCCAGGATGGAAGTTGGTTGAGGGAATGGATTGGTATGGCTACATAATTCCCATTTAATTCCCATTTGTGTTATTTCACAATTTTGATGAATAAAACATGGAAAATAGTAATGATTAAGAATGAGTAGGAGTTCCAAACACTGTTCTTGTCTATTCTTTGAAGATGATTTGCAACTTATTTGACTTCAAAGATTATGTAATTTACGTAAAAAAAAATTGTAATGACTCAATTGAATGACATTACCCGTTTGTCATCATGTGGTAGTAATTATTTATAACTAACGTTATGATGATTGAACCATAGGCTGTGAAGAAAATGGACCGTCAGCCAAGCCTATGTTCTCAGCTGTCAATGATGCAGATGAGGAACAGCATGGCTAGCACCAGTGACACAGACGATGTGCTCAACCAGATCCTGAGAGGCGGGTCAACTGGGTCATCACTCCGTAAGTCTATAGACTTTTCTTGAGCTAAGTATCTTTCACTAATCAGTCAGTGCTAAGCTGTATTTCACGCACTAACCACAATTTACTCAATAGGCCATGTATGCTCCGATATTAGACTCCACGAATGCTGATATAAACCAGTACACACATCTCTCTCATCTCTGTCTCTTCTAACTTTATTTAAAACGTCAAGACATGTCTAATTTCCATTCTTCATCTCCACTCTGAACTTCATCTGTTCCCGTGTGAGTTGCTAATAGGGTACTAAATGTGTGGTATTGCACAATACATTGGTGTGATTTCAAACTATTAATATTGGGTGTATCCCTGATGTTCTCTCCTCCTGTTTCTTCTCTAGCTGTGTCCTCAGTTCGGGCCTGATGGGGTGTAAGATGGTTTATTTTTTTCTCACTATCTTTCTCTTCCTCAACCCCAACAAAAATCGTCATTTTGAACATAACCAGAAAGTAGATTAATTCCCTTCTAGTGGTCAAAACAAGTGACTTCTGATAACCAGACCTGTTATGAAGTTAACCTTTAACATCCAAAAAACTGCATTTGATGAGTTTGTCCGTAACTTTCATGCCATAAAACATGTCGCCATACAATTTTCAACTAAATCCATCAGATCAATATATGAGCTATTACACTGTATATGTTATGTACACTGATCAGCCAAAACCGCCTACCTAATATCACGTAGGTCCCCCTCATGTTGCCAAAACAGCTCAGATGCATCAAGGCACAAGACCTCTAAATCTGTCCTGTGGTACTTAATGGATCTGGCACATTAGCCAGAGCCTTTAAGCCCTGCCAGTTGCAAGGTTAGGCCATCTTGTGTTGGGTTTGTTGGTCCAGCACATCCCAAAAGTTGTTTTTTTCACTGTCTGCCTGAACAGTTCTAAGAACGGTAAGGAATGGTTACAGTTATATTTCCACTTGAACTTGGTTTGGCACGGCACAATTGCAAAGCTTTCTCGGCCTGGAAGTGGACTGGTTACTTGTTTGTTGTCTGGCTACCAGTTTCACTTAGGCTAATAGCTGGCCAAGCATGCTTTTTGAGCAAAGAAAATGCTATTTGAGCAAAGTAAAATATCTGATAATTTTCCATAATGCTGCCACTATTTACATCTTATACCATCTGTAAACACTTGCATTACCAAGACAATGACTGACACATTTGTATTACATTCCAAAGAGCTCTGTTAACAGCACCACAATGGGAAATTAAACCATACCTAGCTGGCCTGGATCGGCACGGAATAGAATGGTTAAGCAACAGGAAAAGTTTGGCCCAAGGGTGGAAAAGTGGCTATAGATGCTCAATCAGATTGAGATCTGGAGGTCATGTTCCTCAAACAATTCTTGAACGATTTTAGCAGTGTGCCAGGGTGCATTATCCTTCTGAATAAATCCACTGCCATCAAGGAACATCATTGCCATGAAGGGGTGTACGTGATCTGCAAAAATCCTTTGGTAGGTGGTACGTGTCAAAGTAACATTCACATGAATGCCAGGACAAAAGCTTCCCCAGCAGAACATTGCCCAGAGTGTATCACTGGCTCGCCTGCCTGCCCTCTTCCCATATTGTATCCTGCTGCCATCTCCACCTGATCTAAAAGAAAACGTGATTCATCAGACCAGACATTGCTCCATGGTCCAGTCCTGACACTCACATGCGCTGTGTGTTCTGACACCTTTATATCATGGCCAGCATTAAGTTTTTCAGCAATTTGAGCTACAGTGACTCTTCTGTGTGATCAGACCAGATGGGCTAGCCTTCGCTCCCCATGTGCATCACTGAGACCCTGATGCCAGTTCACCGGTTGTCCTTCCTTGCAGCACTTTTGGTAGGTACTAACCACTGTATACCGGGACACCCCACAAGACTTGGCCTTTTGGAGATGCTCTGACTCAGTCATCTGGCCATCACTGCTCGGCCCTTGTCAAAGTCACTCCGATTTATCTGCTTGCCTGTTTTTCCTGCCTCACGTGAACTTCAAGAACTGACTGTTCACTTGCTGCGTAATATATCCCACTCCAGGTGCCATTGTAACAATATAATCCGTGTTATTTACTACACCTGTCAATGGTTTTAATGTTGTGGCTGATCAGTGTATATAGTTTCATATCTTTCATATCACTCTACACTCTCTCTTTAAAAAAAAAATAAAATCAATTCTTCATATGCATTTAATTATTTATTTGACAAATAGTCATATATTAATAATGGGAGAATGGACAGTTAGCTGCTTTGCTTTGCAACAGGTTCCAGATCACTCTGTTGGGTTTTTGCGAGTTGATATCATCATCTATATACATACAGTTGAGGTTTGCATACCCCTTTTGTCTCCTAAGTTTATAAACCCCTTTTGGAATTCAATTTAATTAATAGTTATAGATACAATCCAAGGATTTCTAGGCAGTACCACTGCTTTTTTGTTGTTGTTGAACCCACGTGACCCATGTGCCACTCTGAATCTCTGCTCAGAAAAAAAGAAACATGTTTTGAAGCTACATGAAGCAGTGTTTCAAAAGCACTCTATTACTAGCATATTCTGTGCCAAGTACCTATTAGCCCTTGCCATCTGGAGTTTCCTGTCTGAACTTCAGGTTATGTAAAATCTGCTAATTGGCAAAATTAGGTGGTTTGTATCAATTTGTGGCCACAGGTGTTGAAGGCTAGTAAGAGGCCCACATAAACCCTCAGCTTGTGACTTATGAAGGAAGGAGTGTTGATAGCTTGTGCATATTTTTTTATGTGAATGAATGAATGAATGAATGCATGACATATTATGCGATACATTTGTCGAAAACTTGAGTCTTACACTTGCTTAAAACGCATATAAATATCAGTTGTCCCTCTATATATCTCCCAATAATATGATAGTAAAATTAGTCATTCAACATATAGGAATGATTAGTAAAATTATATTTGAATTCTTAGTTTTAAGATCAAAACTCATGAAATGCAATACGATGATTGAGAGATGAACAAATAGACATTCCTTAAAATCCTGATGTATTATAGATAATGCTGACATTTTAAAGGGGTCATATGATGCGATTTAAATTTTTCTTTTCTCTTTGGAGTGTTACAAGCTCTTGGTGCATAAAGAAGATCTGTAAAGTTGCAAAGACTAAAGTCTCAAATCCAAAGAGATATTCTTTATAAAAGTTAAGAGTACAGTATGGTGAGGGGCGTAACATTTCCGTCTCACGCTTGAGGTATTCGGCCAATCACAACGCATTGGATAGCTGGCCAATCACAGCTCACCTCGCTTTTTCAGACCGATGAGCTTTGTAAAAATCTACGCGTTTCAAAAAGGCGGGGCATAGAGGAGAAACAATAATGTACAGTATGTGGAAAATAATGTTTTTTTTTTACTTTAAACCGCATAAACACATTTCATTACACCAAATACGCAAAATAATGTTCTTTTTAGCAACATCATATGACCCCTTTAACATGATTTTTCTAAAAAAAAAAAAAAAAAGTATGAATAATTAAGTAAACCTAAGTTGCTTCAGCTCAGTATTTATTCTGACATATTACTGACAATGTAAATTATATTCTTACATTATAAAAATCAGTAAAGATTTTTACACAGCAAAAATACACATTTATCACAAATTGAAGGAGGCCTTTTACTTGCTAAAAAAGTATAAACTTATCAGTCAGATGGCAGAAATCATGTAGTAGATTGTGTACAACAGGTTTTTCAGCACATTTGATCATGTTGATAATTTAGAGGCCTTACATTTGTTTATCAGTTATGATACAGTAGGACTTAAACATCTTGCAGATTATTAAAGGGGTATGCACACTAATGTACTGCAGACTAATGCACGTCAGACATTACTCAATGTCACAATAAAAACACTTCTTTCACACTGCGGTCACACTAGACTTTGGACATGCAAAATTTCTTTGGATACTACAACGGCCATAATACGACATTGTCAATTTCTGCGGCACCTTTTTAAAAATAAAAATTCAGCATATAAGAGTAATACAATCATTGTCAAAAATACAATGTACTCCACTTTCCTGCAATGCTGCAAACCTGCAGCTTTAAAGTGACATATCTGGATCAACGTCTTCACATCAAACGTATTTGGAACGCAGAATTCAAACTTTGGAACATTAACATAACAAAAAGTTTAGTGTGACCGAACCTTCAGGCACAAGACTCTGAAAGTGGCTCCAGAAACTGGTTCCCAGCCCATACATTTTGGGTACTGCTAATTTTATATAACATGCACAGAGTGTAAATAACAAAGTTGTAATTTTTTATGTTTGTGATTTTATTCACATTACTGTGATGGTACTGTTGAGCTGTGGATACAGTTAATAACTTTAGAAAGAATGATAGAAAGTTTTGTTTCCATGTGACTTTATAAAACATTATATTTTGAATCTTAATGTGTAACTACATATGAAAGCCTCGAAAAACATTTATTTATTTATTTATTTATTTTTTCTCCAGAGAAAACTCCTCTGACAAAAGTTTCCACGACTATGAAGCCAATTGAAGAAGGAATGGAAGATGACGTTTTTGAACCTGAATCCCCCTCTACCTCCCAGAACATTTCCAGGACCCCAAGAGAAGACATGTAAAATGTATTTAGACTTCAATTTAGTGAATTGAACAGGAAAATAATTCCCCCCCCCCTCAGATTACACTGTTCTGAGTAGAGAGATGAGATGTGTTCTAGTGTTACAGATTTAACTTTAATTTGACATTAACATTAATTTGGAAACACTCATATAGTTTCTTTCTTGCTTTAGTATAATCTATATACAGAAAGCATTTTTAACTGTATGCATATTCTTATTTCGAATTTGGTTAAACAGACATGGTTACAATGGCTTAAATATGCTATGCTAAATGTAATACCTGATCATATTTTTCTTAAAACTTAATCTTAAATGATTAATACAACCATCAGAACTGTGCTAATCATATGTGTAAAACAAAAGTGATTACTTCATAATCATCAGTAAAACTGGTCCCATTTGTCTGATACAGAGTTCATACATATACCATGTGCATTTCCTTGCATGTTCCTGTTTTTCTGTCATGTTTTCTTGTGTGATACGTTAACAGTCAATATTTTATTAAAATGAATCATATTATTATTACACAGGTTATTATTACAGGGTTAAGCAATGATGAAGTGTACACTGGATTTACTGAATGTCCTGTTTGAAGCATTTCCATTTCTTCCAAATGCTTCTTTTATTTTATTTTATTTTCTTTAATGTGACTATTGTGTGTATAAAGTTATACTGATACTTGAAATCACCTTTTTTTTTTTTTTAGATTAAAGTTTGTTACTATGGACATGTGTTTGTTTACTTCAGTATTTCATTATTGTTTCTTTCTAATGATGGCTGTGCTTAATGTTTAAGTGATTCACTTAGACAAATCACTCAAGGAGCAAAAACAAAACATTGCTGAAAGATTAAATAATAATTCAGGGAGCACTACTTATGATCTAATATTTAACATCAGAAGATTTTAAAACTTGAATATTACACTAAATTTTTTATTTTTAAAAATTATTTTTTTTAAATTCATCAGTTTTATTGATGAGCAATCTCACATCATTCAGATATAATAATTCCTGTGTACACTGTGCTGTCAAAATATATACCTAGAAACCCTTGCTTTGGAGCAGTGTTAATTTCGTTGACGAATAATTTTCGTCATAATTGTCGTCAACGAATTAGATTTTAGCCGACTAAATTTACTGTAGATTTAGTCGACTAAAATCGTATGATATTTAGTCGACTAAAACTAGACTAAAACTAAAAACAATTCAGATGACTAAAATATGACTAAAACTAAATGGCATTTTAGTCAAAAGACTATGACTAAAACTAAATCAAAATTTGCTGTCAAAATTAACACTGCTTTGGAGTGCCTGCCAAATGTATACATGCACGTTTTAGAAAGGGAAACTAACCACCGACTAATTTGCCATATCCAAAGCCAAACAACTTTAACTTTAAGGTCTCTGTTTTAATCAGAACATCGTTAGTATATATATCACTACACTCTCAGAAAAAAAGGTACAAAAGCTGTCGCTGGGGCAGTACCTTTTTAAAAGGCACACCTTATACCTAAAGTGTCCATATTGGTACCTTAAAGGTACATATTAGTACCTTTTTTTCCTGAGAGTGTATGGTGCACTTTTGTTCCAGGTGACCTTTGTTGTGCATATGGAGATCCAACAAGGTCTCACAGGAGTCACAACTAACAACTTACCAAGCCACATATACTTCTATATCATTAGGGCAGAAGGTTCTTTCATCAAGAGCATCAGAACCACTTCCAAATTCAGAGAATTGGGTAAAAGTAGCTTTTATTTGACTCAGTACCAAATGGAGTTATTTCATATATCATTATATCCTTATATTGAGTTATACCATATATCATTTGTATTTGGGTATACACTACATTGTTGTGGATATAACCGACAGTCAGGAAGGGCATCTGTCATAAAACCTAAGCCAAATAATGTGCAGATAATTCCTCTGTGGCGACCCCTAACGAGAGCAGCCGAAGGAGAGAGAGAAAGTTGTGAATACAACCGTCAGAACATTTTAAAAGTTCTGTGTAGTACGTCAAACTAAATTTCAAAGTTATGTAATCATATTCAGTATCCTTTATTTTATGTGCTGGTGACCTGTGGTTTAAAAGATGAAGAGCAGCTTATCATAATATTCTCTTTTATTTATACAGCCTTTATTACTGTTTTTGACAACCAAACAGTTAAAAGTTAAAATAATGTATCAAAACATAGATCTACACTGATCTGTAGTCAATGAACTCAGCAAATTGAAGGAAAGAGAGAAAAGCGTGGTCTATCTTTAGGCCATCAGACTTGTGAATTCCTTTACAGACAATGGCCATATAGCATCCCTGTCCCATGTTTTATTTTAAATATACTGAAATATGAAAACAGAATGTTAAAGGGGGGTGAGGGGGAGTTATTTAAAGGGGGATTTTTATTGTTATTTAAAGGGGGTATTTACACTGTTTAAAGAGTTCTCATGCTAAACATGGCCAAAGTTTCAAAAAACGATTTGGACGTATGACGGAGTGTAACGCCAGGTTGAGCGTAACGGTCAACCTATATCACATGTGCCATAATAACCAATCACATTACAGCCTTGATGTCACTGAATTTCAGTCAGAGTTGTGCGACACTCAATCGTCGTTTACGGATACCATAGGAATGAATGAGAAGTGCCGTAAGCTGAATCCCACTTGTCGCAAAAAGTCCGGGACTTCTCTTATAAAGAGTAATTTTTTTCGGTGTAAACTCTAAAAATTGTGTGGGCGTGCAAGATGGCACCATGTTAAGATGCTTGAATACGTTGCTCGTGAGTTGAGCAAAACTAAGTTCTACTTGACCATTTAATGAACTATGTTCATTAGTATTATGGCTTACTGATCTCTACACATTTTCGAATCGTCGGACACATTATGGGCAAACGTTCTGCCAAAAATTCAAACAGAAATCTCTTGAACTCCTCCTCCTCCTCCTCCTAAGTCAAGTTGAAACTACACTCTAAAAAACGCTGGGTTGTTTTTTCAACCCAAATGCTGGGTTGAGACCACTGGGTAAGGACGTTGGGTTGTTTTAACCCAATTTGGGTTGAAAATTGGTCTTGATCTATAACCCAGCATCGCTGGGTTGGGAACGCGGACGTGAAAGAGAGAACGCACGTCACGTTAACATCGGATGACACCAGTGCGAGAAGCTGCCATTTTCTCAGCGTCTTCAGATGGAAGCGAGTG